AGAGAAAGATAAATATCACATGATCTCACCAATCTGTGGAATATAATGAACAACATAAATGAACAAAAATAGATGCAGAGACAGAAGCATCAAACAGATCATCAAACCTCAGAGGGAAGGCAGGGGAGGGTTACAGGGTGTTAAGAGATCAACCAAAGGACCTGTACACATGCATATAAGCATAACCAATGGACACAAACACTAGGGGGGTGAGGGCATGTGCTGGGGGGTGGGAGTGGCCGGGGAGAGGTCAATGGGGGGAAAAGGAGACATATGTAATACTTTAAACAATAAAGAATTTTTAAAAATACTTTATTGCTAAAAAATGCAAACCATCATCTAAACCTTTTGGAAAAATGGTGCCAATAGACTTGCTTGATGCGGGGTTGCCACAAACCTTTAATCTGTAAAACCAAAAACAAACAAAAACACATTATCTACAAAGCACGATAAAGCGAAGTCTAATAAAATGAGGTGTGCCTGTATTGAGAGACGTCACAAGTAAATAATGCTGTTGCCAAAAGAGAACATTCGTGTATCATTCATATGACCTCTGAGCACCCACAGTAGTATACTAGTATAAATCATATTTTGAAAACTATTGCTATAAACATGTCTACCTATAAGATGGTTTCCTTCTTATTTTGCCTATATAGTTTTAGTCTTGTAAGCAAAACTAACAAGTTGAATAAGAGAAAAATGAGACCCTCTAACTTTACCTCTTAAGTAGTATCTAAACAAATTTTATAAAAATAAAAATATTTCATTCACAATTAAAAAAAATATTAAAACCTCAGGAAAAATAGGAAAAATAGAATATTTTTAGGTATTTCTAACAATCAGAAACTTAGGCATAAGCATAAAATTCTTTTGCGTTTATTTTTACAGGTATCCCTTGGAATTTCACATTTAATGTAAAGTTTTATCCACCTGACCCAGCACAGTTAACAGAAGATATAACAAGGTAAACAATTTATTAATAGTCAAATATGTAATAAGTAATTCTCATGATCATAAACTGGGAATTTCTCTTCAGAATTGAAGGAAAATGATGAGCTATTAAACATAAGATAAAGTTTCTGGTCATATTCTAGTGAAAATGTATCAATAATGTCATCTTTGAATCTGAAGGGCAATGTCTACGCATTTGGCAAAGCAGTGTGAAAAAGGCCCAATTTCAGAGCCAAACAGCCTTATTACTACCTAACATTGAGCAAGCTTACCTTTTGAGGCTGACTCCTCATCTTGTAATCTAGCAATAATTCCCCCCTCACAAATTATTTTTGTGAGTTAGATGAGTTGATATATGTATGGTTCTTACTGCATTCAACAAAACATTAGTTTCTTTACCTCTTCAGATGTTCCCTCTTTTCTTTCTAAACTTCTTTCCAGCAATGACTCCAACATAGTCACAGTTTTTAAAAAAGGGGGGGAAATTTTCAAACACACAGAAAAGAACAAATAATAGTGCAAGAAGCAACCATAAACCCACTACCTAGATTGAACAATTATTAATATTATCTCATATTTAATCACTTTTCCCCCCTCTTCCCTTTTTCCTCTCTCTTCCCCTTTCTTCCTTTTTCTCTCTCTATATTTTGTTATTGTTGTTGCTGACATGGTAACATCTTTTCTCTTTTGGCTATAGATATTATTTATGTCTTCAACTTCGACAAGACATAGTTGCAGGACGTCTGCCCTGTTCCTTTGCAACTTTAGCTTTATTAGGTTCTTATACCATCCAGTCTGAGCTGGGCGATTATGACCCTGAACTCCATGGTTCAGATTATGTTAGTGATTTTAAACTGGCCCCAAATCAGACCAAGGAACTTGAAGAGAAAGTCATGGAACTGCATAAGTCATACAGGTAAATATGTCTCCAGAGTTTGTTCTGTGTTTGTTTTGGCAACAAGTTTAAACCCTTTACCTGGTCTTAATTCACTGTTTGCTTTAGTGGGAACTGGTGCCACAGAATGAGTCAGCATAAGCTCAATTCCCTCCCAGTTCATTAAGTCATTTAAGTCCTATGATCTCAGTTTTCTCATCAGAGTAATGGGTGTTGGATTGTAGGAGAAAACAAAATGAGCTAATATATGTAAAGTTCTAAGCACAGTGTCTCTGGCACATAGTAGGTGCTCAATAAATGGTAGCTATTTTAATATTACTAGAGACCCAGTGCACGAAATCGTGCACTTGGTGGGGTTCCTCAGCTCAACCTGCACCTTCTGGCAGTCTGGGAGACCTTGGGGGATGTCCAACTGACGGCTTAGGCCCACTCCCCTTAGCGTTGCCATGGAGGCGGGAGAGGCTCCTGCCACCGCCACTGAGCTCTCCAGCTGTGAGCCCTACTCAGGGCTTCTGGCTGAGCAGCGTTCCCCCTGTGGGAGCACACTGACCACCAGGGGGTGGCTCCTGCATTGAGTGTCGGCCCCATTGTGGTCAGTGCGCATCATAGGACCCGTTGTTCCGCCGTTTGGTCAATTTGCCTTTTATTATATAGGATTGCCATACCTTATTTTTTCAAATTTTAAACTTATACTATATTAAGTATCTTGAGATTCTAGTGCAGGGTTTCTTAACTTGGGGTCTATATACATGGATAGACTTCAGAGGGCCCATGAAACCCCAGGAGGTATTTTTTAAAGTCTTTATTAAAGTTACTGCTTTTTCTCATGGAAATAATTGGTAATGTTGGGAGTTAGCAAAATACTTTTATCAAAAGCAGGATTTATGGTCATACTGAGCTGAATTACATTTTTGGCTCTTCTTGGTCATGGCCTTGGGACTTTGGGTCATTCATTTAATTTCTCTGAGCCTCAGGTTTTTTATATGTCTGGTGGAGATTATTTACCTCAGAGGAAATAGGATGGTTGTTAGGATTAGGAAAGATAAATGTGTGGAAAAACTTAATACAATGTCTTACATAGTAAAAATTCAATAAATGTTAGCTAATATTAAAGTGCCAATATAATTTGTGTTTCTTCCTACCATACTTCCCATATTTGACTTGCTATAACTAAATTTTGCAAGCTGCTTTAGCATACTAAGGTGAATGTCTGATCTTGGCCTTGAGTTAGTACCCTGAGTTATGGTTGGCATGAGTAGGCTACAATGTTCCAGAAGGTCACACTGCTGAGAAATCCAGAATAGTCTTATAGGCTTTACATGGTATTAACAAGTATTCTGTCTAGACATTCAACAAACTTGTTTTCCTTGGAGTGGTTCCAATAGGATTGCATGCATTGAGATGCTTTGAGTAAGGGACCTTTAACTCAAGTTGCCCCAGTTCTGGCTGCCTTATTGCCCCTGTAGTGTACATCAGTCATGAGAACCATAAGGATTTTAAGTCTACAACCTATATAGCAATAGCCTTATAAGAATAACCCTATTCTCATGAGGTCACCTATTTCCAAAGAAACACTAATATCTAGGACCCTCTAAATATACCATTTTCTACTTATTAATGATTATAATTTAAGGATCTTGCATTGTCCTTAAATACATTTTTAATACTTTTATTTATATTCTGATTATGATTCTAGAAAATTTTATATTTATAAAATATATATGTTCACACACATATATCCATGCAAAAGCAAATAATAGAAACAACCAGTTAAAGTAATTTGGTTTGTTAGAATGTCAGGATTTAGGGGAATGCTCTTTTTAGTTTAAAAATAATTTTTATTATTGATAGTAAAATCTTGGGCAGTCAGTAAAATAGTAAAAGAAAATATTTTGCTGTTGCTGTGTAGCCAAACAGCAGATGGTGTCAGATTATGATTGATGCCTTAAATCTATCTCTGATGATTTTTTAATGGCTATTTGATCATAATAGAATCTCAGGTTATCCAATGCTTGATTCTCCTTTGTAGCATTGTTATACAATCATCATCATAATTATAAGCAGCTAATTATTGTGTATTATTATGTGCTAGATATTATGCTAAGCACTTTATATACAATATCACATTTACTCTTTATAACCACCTTTTGAATTAGGCCAGCCTTGTGGTCTTCAAGACCTTTTTAAGGTTAAAATTATTTCTATAACAATACTAAGATGATATTTGCCTTTACACTGTGTTGAAATGGATGGAGCACAAATAAAGGCAATGACATCAAACTGTACTAGTTGTTATTATATTCTTTACAGACAGGCACTTTAATTTTACTTTTTAACTTGAAGTTAGAAATAAGACTAAAAGGGCCAGTTCACTTAGAAATTTTCTTGATGAGGAAGTAAAAAGTATTAATTTTATTAATTCTTAAATACATTTCTATGTAATATTCTTTGTGGTTAAATAGGACCTACACACAAAGCAGTTCTGCTATATACTGAGGTACAACAGTTGTCTTGAGGAAAGCATCTGCATAATTGTTTTGAGTTGTGAGCTGAATTAGCCACTTTTTTTAAATCTTCACCTGAGGATATTTTTTCCATTGATCTTTAGAGAGAGAGTGCAAAAGAGGGAAGAGGGAGTAGGGAGGAAGGAAGAGAGGGAGGGAGAGGAGAGAGAGAGAGAGAGAGAGAGAGAGAGAGAAGAAAGAGAGAGAAAAAGAGAGAGAAAGGAGGAGAGAGAGATCAGTGCAAGAGACACATTGACTGGTTGCCTCCTGCATGTGCCCCAACTGGGCTGGGATCAAATATGCAACCGAGGTATGTGTCCTTGACCGGGAATCAAATCCACAACCCTTTCGCCCAAGGGCTGACATGCTAACCACTGACCAAACCCGACCGGACTGGTCACCTTTTTTATGAACACTATTTTTACTTGAAAAAACGACTATGGCCTTGACTGGTTTTGCTCAGTGGATAGAGCGTTGGCCTGCAGACTGAAGGGTCCCAGGTTCAATTCCAATCAAGGTCACATGCCCAGGTTGTGGGCTTTATCCCCAGTAGGGGGCGTGCAGGAGGCAGCCAATCAGTGATTCTCTCTCATCATTAATGTTTCTATCTCTCCCTCTCCTTTCTTCTCTGAAATCAATAAAAACATATTTTTTAAAATGACTATGATTATTCAGACTTGGTTATTTTGAAGACATTTTCTTAAAAGTGAAGAGAGCCAGTACATTTAGTATTAGTAAGCAACTGACAGTATTTGTTGCTGATAAAATGATAAAATTCAAGCTTTCAAGTAAAATTGGAATTTTGGAAAACTTGTAATTGCCACCATGATCTTGACAAGTTACAAATATTTAAAGGCTTTTCTGATGAAGTTGTGATTTTAATGAATGTGATTTTTTTTTATATATCATACACTGAAATGTGTCAACATTTGGAAAAGGTGCATTATTACTCAGTGAACCAATGTTTTTCAGATATGAAGTTCATGATATAAATCGTGCATGGGTAAAAAAGGTCCATTTAAAGTGCAAGATAGATCAAAATAACACCGTATAAAAATGCATTGATATGTTTTCAGATTTCGTATTGCAACTAACCTTTAAGAAACTGCCATTGTTGGGTTTGGGTGTAGTATCAAAGAATATTATTTAAAATAATCAATCCTTCCTTTTCTAACTATGTGTCTTTGTGAGATAACATTCATACATTATAACAAAGCCAACTTATTACAACAAATTGAATGCAGAAGTGGATAAGAGAATCTAACCTAAGCCAGACATTTAAAAAATTTGTAAATATGTAAAACAATGTCCTTTTTTTGCTGTCTTTTTAGAAAGTATTGTTATTTTTCACACAAAAAATTATGTTACAATATGAGTTTAGTGTTATTTAAAGATTTAGTAAATATTATAAATTTTTGTTAGTTTTAATTTTCAATATAGTAAATATTGATAGAAATAACCCACATAAAGCAGCAATTTTCAGCCTTTTTTCATCTCATGGCACATAAACTAATTACTTAAATTCTGTGGCACAAAAAAATAGGTATAGTTGTGTTGGCTGGGCTGCTATAGTTGTGTTGGCTGTTGTGGTGTGTTTTTTTTAATATATTTTATTGATTTTTTACAGAGAGGAAGGGCGAGAGATAGAGAGTTAGAAACATCGATGAGAGAGAAACATCGATCAGCTGCCTCCTGCACATCTCCCACTGGGGATGTGCCCGCAACCCAGATACATGCCCTTGACCGGAATCGAACCTGGGACCCTTCAGTCCACAGGCCGACACTCTATCCATTGAGCCAAACCGGTTTCGGCTGTTGTGGTTTTTTTAATTTGACAATGTAAGGGAAAAGGTCAACTATTGCATGCTTTAAAAATTCTTTGCTTCTGATTTACAAGAGATTTGATTCCTTTAGATTGACAAATTTAAGAATTTCAAGTTATTTTAGTAACAAAATACGTTAGGCTTAAACCTGGTTGAAAATCACTGACATAAAGGAAAGCTTTTTGGAGTCCTCAATAATAGTTAAGAGAGTGAAGGGATCCTGAGGTACAAAAGTTTTGAGAACCACTGAGTTAGGTAATAAGACAGAAGCATGGGCTCCGGAGTCAGGCTGTCTTACTTTGAATTCAGACACATTCCTTATTAGCTTTGTGATTCTTAGAAAGCTGCTTAAGTGCTCTCAGCTGCAATTTTCTGATCTCAAAAATATGGGTGATAATGTGAATTTTATTATTGTTAAACCATAAAGTTCATGTAAAGTGCTTAGAATAATGATTAGTGTACAGTAAGAATTCAGATGTTTGCTAGGATAATGATAATTCTTGTCCCTATTTTATGTGATGAATATGAGTTTGGGTTTAGAGAGCACCTCTTTGGAACTTAACAGAATTTAAACCCCAGAAGCTGAAATGATTTGAGGAGCAATGGATGTGGTTCAGTTGATGTTCTGTTAAATACACGGGTAGATTGAGCAATAGTGGATCTCCATGACTAGAACATTTTGCAGTCTGTCATCTTAGAATTTACTTCCTCCTTTTTAGAACAATTTGTAACCCTCACAAACAGAAAGCCATTTTGATTATATATAGGAGGTTTGTTTTTTGTTTTGTTAATCCTCACCCGAGGATATTTTTTCCATGGATTTTTTTTAGAGAATGAAAGAGACGGGAGAGACAGAGAGAGAGAAACATCAATGTGAGAGGGCCGGGGATCAAGCCTGCCACCGAGGTACATGCCCTTGGCCGGAATTGAACTGGGAACCCTTCAGTCTGCAGGTTGATGCTCTGTCCACTGAGCCAAACCATCTAGGGCCAAATGGAGATTTTAATTATGTCCAAACACATGACATTTTAACCAATACAAAGAAACTTCTGCTTGGGCAGAAGCATGTACTAGGCATGGAAAAGCACAAGCAAATACCACCCTGCTCCTCAGATAAGGCAGAGATAGCCACTTCCATGGAACTCTTAGTAATGGCCCTTTGCCCAGACAGAGACTTTGAAGCTATAATTAACACTTTAAATTTACACGAACACATCAAGCTTTAAAAATTAATTGCCCTCCACTTATGGATACTAGGACTTGTCAGTTTTCCCCCTTAATTATTTGAAATCACAGTCCTTAATTAAGAGATGTAAGAAACATTATTAAACATCTGTCACATAACACTGGAACTCACTGAATGGCTATATATCCTGACCCCACTTGCTCAAAATAAATACAGGGAAACTTTGTTGTAACTTTCCTTTTTAATGAGCAAGAGTTAACCAGTGCCAAAGCTTTCTGGTTAGGCACTTCGTAGGCGGCAGTACTTTGAAAAAATAAATTATTAGGTGGTATTTAATAAATTCATGACAGTACTCTGAATGGTTTAGAGGTATCTAATCTCTTCCCAGCTAATTTGTTATTACTTTCAAGAGTCTTGGGAAAAGCCATGATCTTTAAAATTTTAAGTTAAAAATACTTTAAGTTTGATATATGATATTACATTTAGAAAATGTTATATTTGCATGCACAGATGTCTGTGGATGGTGGGATTATAGGAGACTTTTTCCCTGTGTTGCTAATGATACTTTCCAAATTTTATATGATGAACATAGATGATTTTTATCATCAGAAAAGGCTTCCTTAAACAATTTTGTTTAAAAACTAATAGGTGAGACAGAGCAAGATAGTCAGATGTGCAGAAGGGCAGTCTGGCTGGCAATATTCAGGCCTAAGCAGGGTGGGAAGAGTGTTCATGGGGATGAGTGTGCAGCCTGGTGTGGAAAGTCAGCTCAAATAGGATGAAGAGGGCCATCATATGTTAGTTGGAAAAGCAGAGTGAGAAAGGCATCCACATAGGGCTTAAGGCCTGCATCAGGTGGAGGGCACCCATATGGGCTGTACCTGATACAGGGTATTGAAGCCTGAGTGGGATGAAGAATATGGCCATGGCTCTAGCCAGTTTGGCTCAGTGGATAGAGTGTCCGCCTGCAGACTAAACGATCCCAGGTTTGATTCTGGTCAAGGGCACATGCCTGGGTTGTGGTCTCCAGCCCCAGTAGGGGGCGTGCAGGAGGCAACTGATCAATGATTCTCTTTCATCTTCCAAAGGTTAAGATTATGAAACAAAGATTAAGGAACTGTTCCAGACTGAAGAAGACTAAAGAGACATGAACTAAATGAAACTTGTGATGCTAATCTGGATCCTTTGTCTATACAGAACATTTTTGAAACTGGCTAACCTTGAATGGAGTCTGGGGGTTAGATGGCAGTAATGTATTAATATTTCCTGCCTGGCCAGTGTGGCTCAGTGGTTGAGTGTCAACCTATGAACCAGGAGGTCACGGTTCCATTCCTGGTCAGGGCACATGCCCAGGTTGCAGGCTCAATCCCTAGTAGGGGGTATGCTGGAGGCAGCCGATCGATGATTCTCTGTCCACATTGATGTTTCTGTCTCTCTCTCTTCCTCTCTCTGAAATCAATAAGAATATATTTTAGAAAATATTTCCTAGTTTTGACAGCTATATTGAGGTTATGTAGGAGAATGTCCTTGTTTGTAGGAATTACATACTAAAATATTTGGAAGTGATGGGTCATCAGGTTGACAATTAACTCTCATGGTTCAGGAAAATATTACTTGTGATTATAGGTAACTTTTAAAAATTTATTTTTCAATTACAGTTTACATTCAACATTGTATTAGTTTTCATATTATAGGTAATTTTAAGTTTAAGTGTGTTTCAAAATTTTTAAATTATATTATTTTAAACTAACGGGAAAGTTATATCTTTAATTGATTGGCTGCCTCCTGCCTGCCCCCCTAGGCATGTGCCCTTGACCGAAATCGAACCTTTGTCCCTTCAGTCCGCAGGCTGACACTCTATCCACTGAGCCAAACCGGTTAGGGTGGAAAGTTATATCTTCAAATTTAAAGATCTCTTCTTACTACCTGCCCATAATACAATTTTAAAGCATGCTTACTCAGAAAAGCATTTGACCACATAATTTGAAATTTAAATCTGTACTCAAATTGATTGACCCCATTATAGTCCCTTAGAGTTGGGGGAGTGAGTATAGGGAAGATTTTATCATAATTGTTTCATTTACTGTTTTAAAATTTGTCTTCAAATTCAAGTGGTCAAAATTATTTCTCTTTTATGAGCTGCATAAGGTATATCTCTGTTGCAATAAAAAATAATAAACATTTATATTTTACAAAGCAGTTTCACAACCATTACCTAATTTTGTCCTACCAGTCACATTCATTCAGCAAAGACAAAAAAGTAGTTATTATATTGATTTTGATTTTATAGTTCAGATATTGAAGAAGATACCAGGTCACTACTTTTTCAGCGTAGGAGCCAGGATTCCAGTTCAAGAAAATATAACTTGAGTCCTAACTAAATCCTGCTGCCTTAAACAAGGAGTCATAACTTGCCCATGACTATGTGATCCCTCAGGGCCTTTTTTTTTCATCAGCAAAATGAAAGTGTTGGACTCTGCAATCTTCAAGCTCCATTCCAGCTTCAAAATCCTAAAATTCGCCCAGCCGGGTGTGGTTCAGCGATTGAGCGATTTAGCGTTGACCCAGGAATCAAGAGGTCACTGGTTTGATTCAGGTCAGGACATAAGCCCTGGCTGCACTCGATCCTCAGTAGGGTCGTGCAGGAGGCAGTCAGTTGATGATTCTCTCTCATCATTGACGTTTCTCTCTTTCTCCCTCTCTCTGAAATCAATAAAAATATACATGTTTTTTAAATCCTAAAATTCAAGCCATAGATAATAGTAACTACAAAACCCATAAAATGACTCTTACAACTATAAAAGTATATAACTTATGTGGGGTAGAAAAACTATAAAACTTTTGTATGTTTTTAATGACTTGACTATACAGATTTGTAAATGTCTTAATTTTCCTTTATTCAGGTCCATTAATAAATAGAATTCAGGTGTGATAGTGAACTTGTGAAAAGCAATTTATTCAGGGAGGCTGTGACATGAACAATTCTGCTCCTCTCTCCTGAGATTTTGTTGTTGTTATTGTTCCAAGGAACCCTTTGTTCTTTTTAATGAGGGTAAAAACAGATGGTTTTGAAAGAGACTTTTCCCCCTGTTAAATGAATAGGCCACTGCTGCTTTGTATAGCTTGAGGCAGTCTTATGGGAAACAGGCATTTCCATGATTTTTCTTTGGGTTTGTGGGTGCATTGTTGTTACTGTGAAGTTATATTTTATTGGTCTGAATTGCGCAGCACTAGGAGTGATACCTTTCTCTTTAACATAACTGCTCATGAGATCTTTTTGGGGGGGAAAAAAGAGGAAAGTTAAAAAGGAGAAGGAAAGACCATCACAGTGAGTATTTAGGCAGTGAGACTGATTGTTTTCAAACAAATCAAATTCATTATATGCCTAGTAATGAAGACATCTTAATAACAGAGAAAGCAGCCCCATTATCTACATGCTTCTATTAACCAATTTATTTTGTTTAGATCAGTGGACAGGAACACCATCTGTTAGATTTTTTTTTTTCATCAAGCCTGTCCCCATTAAGAGTCTCCAGTTAAGTAACTTCAGCTGCCCTTCTGTTTAATTTTCATAGTAACTCAACTCAGGGGTATGGAGCGAAAAAAGCAGCTAAGAAGATATTGTAAATTGTACCATGCCCTCAAAGGATTTAATGTAGTCACCCCTTTAGCAAGAAAAATTAGTGGGAGGAGTTTATGTGTGTTGGGAAAAAGGCTGAGGAGAGGAAGGGGCAGAACTGATGGTGGATGAGGCTGCTTTAAGGAAATTGTTTAGTAGGATTTTTTTAACTTTTTTTTTTCTGATAGCTTTTTGGTGGACTTTCTGTTGCTCTAAGATCTCTTATTTTAAGAGTCATTTTCCATAATATTCTTTCAGAACTATGAACTATACATTCATATTGGTATATATGTTTATATAAAATGCAATTATTATACAAATGTTACTGTAAATGTTGACACTGTGACACTGAAAGAGTTTTAAATTTGTATTCTTTCAAAGGTCCATGACTCCAGCTCAAGCTGACCTGGAATTTCTTGAGAATGCCAAAAAGTTGTCTATGTATGGTGTTGACCTTCATAAAGCAAAGGTAATAACTTTGGCCTTTATTAACATGCATGTATCAGACCTGTGTCATATAATACTTCTCACTAACCTTTATCTGGGGTTATTATTATAAAACATTCTGAAGAGAGAAGAATTTGTTTTTAATTAAATCTTTATTGTTCAGATTATTATATTGGTTCCTCTTTTTTCCCCCCATAGCTCTCCTCCAGCAGTTCCCACCCAGCCCTCCGCCCTCACTCCCCACCCACTGTCCTCATCCATAGGTGCACAATTATTATCCAATATCTTCCCGAACCCCCTGCAAGCCCCTTTCCCCCACAAGAATAGTCTGTCCGTTCCCTTTCTATGTCCCTGATTCTATTATAATCACCAGTTCATTCTGTTCATCAGATTATTTATTCACTTGATTTTTAGATTCACTTGTTGATAGATGTGTATTTGTTGTTCATAATTTGTATCTTTACCTTTTTCTTCTTCTTCAT